TTTACAGCGGGACCATTTGCCATCCTTCGAGGCTGATCGCAAATATGCTTGATCAAGTGATTAAGCGTTCTTCTTGCAACACATATTAACAAAAGTACGACGGTGCCGCTGATTCTTAAAACGAATAAGTTCATTAAAAACCACCAAATTAATCAGGCAACTGTTTCTTAGAACCTGCATATTTACTCTAACTGCATATCCGCATTAGAATACCTCTTGTCCCTGAAAAAGTGTATCCATGCAAATTTCGATCGATTCCAAAAAATGTCAGCAGAGAAGGTCAAAGGTCATATATGACTGTAAAAAACATCGCAGTAGATAGATTGCGAAATCAATTGCAAAGCTTGGCATGTTCATTCTGATCGATCCCACTCTACCCCTGCATCAGGTTCTTTCAAAGTGTTCTTCGAAGACTCCCATTCTATAATGTGCCCATATATCTATATCTGTGTGAGAGCTGAAGCATGCAGAAAACGCGTGACCTCGTAGATGGTTCTCTCTGCAGAACAAGGAACCCCTCTGCTCGAACCAATCCCCCTCATGTTAACCGATATTTTTCGATTATCATCTGCTTTAACTGTCTACTGATCAGTCCGTCTTCTTTTCATCATTCTATGTTCCTTGTCTCAATACTCTATACTTTGTTTTTTCTTGTGCATTGCATATATGCTGTTATAACAATGGATCAGTGATTGCTGAAATGTTACTCTGTGCTAGTTCAGCATCCAATTTCCGCTAATCTAAGCAGTAAACTCTTTTGATTGATTGATAACTTCCAGCTCATTGGCATTATGAACTGAAAGAGCACAGAGCTATATTGACCATGTCAGTTATTTTAGGATATGGCTGGAGTGCTGAAACCGAAAGCTGCCAATATCCTTGTATCTGCATTGAGAGCCCGTCACCCGAAGGTACCGATACACATCCATACCCACGACACGGCAGGAGCCGCCGTGGCCAGCATGATCGAATGTGCCAAGGCAGGCGCTGATATTATTGATGTGGCAGTCGACTCGATGTCCGGCATGACGGCTCAGCCCAGTATGGGCGCCTTTGTTGCTGCCCTTCAGCGCAGCGAGCTTGACACAGGTAGGTAATTCAGTCCTGAGGCAAGAACATGGTCGATATACAGCTTGAGGTTAGGGGTAGACATCAACGGAACAAGTGGCATGCTAGGGAAATTTAAACGTTCCTTATTAAGCTACATACTCCGTAACGAGGAAATAAAATCTATATAAGTTATTAAATGGGCAAATTAAAATGGCATAAATAAAATTTTATTTTTTTCTTTCTTCCAGGAATCGACTTAAGTGACATTTCGGCATACAGCGCCTTCTGGGAATTGACAAGGATGTTTTACGGACCGTTTGAGTGCACGCAAACGATGAAGAGCGGAAACGCTGATGTGTACGTGCACGAGATCCCAGGAGGACAGTACACGAACCTACAGTTCCAGGCGTTCTCGCTTGGACTCGGCGAGAAGTTTGAACAGATCAAGAAAAAATACCACGAGGCAAACTTGATTTTAGGAGACCTGATAAAGGTATGCCATAAATGACGGCGAAGGTCGATTTGTCCTTGATAACCACGTGACATCATTAGGTTACACCTTCGTCAAAGGTGGTCGGTGATTTGGCGCAGTTTATGGTTCAGAATAAACTGGACGAAAAAACGTTGCTTGAAAAAGCTGACGAATTGTCCTTTCCAAACAGCGTTACCGAATTTTTGAAAGGTCTGATTGGTCAACCTCCGTACGGGTTTCCGGAGCCGCTGAGGACCAAAGTTCTGAGGGGTGCCAAGTCGATGACTCGCAGACCTGGAGAACTGCTTCCTCCGCTGGACATGGATAAGTTGGAGGCAGACTTGAAGAAAAAATTTGGCAATGGCATAACGTACGCTAATCATTAACAAGCGACGCCTTAAATGTGTGACCACAGTTGAGGCATTTTCAGGAAATATGACGTCATGTCAGCCGCTCTGTACCCGAAAGTGGCGAATGATTTTTTCGAGTTCCGGGAGACTTACGGCCCCGTCACTAAACTCCCAACAACGGCGTTCTTGGACGGATTGAAAGACGAGGAGGAAATCGACGTAATCGTCCAATAATATGAAATTTTTTTAAAATTGGTCTTCTCCATTCTAGGTAGAAATCGACAAGGGCAAGTTGTTGCAAATTAAAATGCTAGGCAAAAGCAAAGTAATGGCAACCGGTGACAGAGAGGTGTTTTTTGAGGTTAATGGAATGCCTCGCAGCACGTTCGTCAGAGACAAGAAAGCTACGAAGGTAACAGGGTCATTCGTAACCGATAGAAAATTTGAAACGAAGCGTACTAATCATAACTACGACCATTGCGGCGGAGTTATCGAAATCGCCATAAACCCTCATCACAAACGTCATGAAATAACTTTCAGCCACAACTCATCCAAGGCCATATTTCACAGCCCTGCCCATTGGCTCCTGGTTGTCTAGGGGGCCATTTAAGCAGGCCAGGAATCAACGGAATTTGGTCACATGTATCTCACATCACTTCGTTCTCTGGAGCCACCTCGCGCGCATTGTGAATGATGCTTCAAGAGCCGGTACTCCTTATGTGCTACTGCATAAGCATTAAACTATGTACATACGCCGGAACATATCTGCCAATGCATAACTTTTACGAAATAAGGTTGCCGAGATGTTTATGCGGTAGCAAATAAGGAGTACCCGCTTCGGAAATATCGTTCATGCCGAGTCGAGGTTGCTTTGGCTAACAAAATGATGCGAGATGAATCTGGAACTGCAGATGTTCAAACACCATGGAACCTTGACCTGAATAAATGCCTTGCAACAGGCAGCTAGGAGGAACAGGGCAGAGCAATAAGCCGCGTAGTCTGACCTTCGAGGAAAAATGCGTTACTTCACACGCTTCGGCGTACGATCATAATTCGATGAAAACGAGGTACAGTTGTGATCGACATTGTCAAAGTTAAACGAGGCTCAGATTCCAAGATGAACAATTTTCTTTTTCTACCTCGCTGGGATGGTACAGTTTACAACATTCGCAGACGTAACAGGTACGGTCTATTGACCTAAGACAATTACAGTTTTACACATAAAATTTTATCACCCTTTGCAAACTTAAACTATGCGTATGAGGAAATCGAACCATTTAACACAGTAGTTTCTTGGACACATAAAAAACTAGGTAATTTCAAGAAGTGATCAGGATCTTGTCAGAAAGGTCATGCAAGTTATCGTTCTTTCTACCTAGTACCCTAATCAGAGGAGGTATTCGTTGAAGGTGTAAAAATGAAAGACCGATAAAGACATCTTCTTCGCTTTTCTAGCGTATCCGCTTTAACAGGAATCCGCTGTTCGAGGCAACAGTTTCTACGCCTTTTTGGCTTCCTTAAAATCTTTCCGCCAGTCCTCACAGCTTCATATCGTTCCATGCGACATGCATCACCTTTACCGCGGCTTTTCCGTTGTTTCTTCCATGACAGTACCAAAGCTTG